CTACTGTAGCTTGCCCGTGTCAGACTCTCCGTGAGCTAATACCGGGATACCACAAGTAAACGCATACTATTACAGCCCAACCCATCAATTAGGGGTACCGAGCATGCGCAGTTCACCGAGATCTCCTATGTGAAGCAACACATTGCTAGTTTTCCTCAGTATGAGTCGCACTATTCTCGAACTGACAACCCCAATCGAAAGTACCTGAGCCCTGATTCAAAGATGCACAACATGTACAAATAAGAATGTGTCAATGATGGGAAGGAACCAGTCAGCGACTGGCTCTATCGCAAAGTATTCAATGAAAACTTCAATCTTGGCTATGGAAACTAATCTTTCATACTCCTTTTGCTCATTTGCACACTCCCACTTTCACTTTCCTTTTATCATCTGGGCTGTTTTATTACAGGCCAAGAACAGACATATGCAAGGTTGCGATGAGATGAAGGTAAAAGCGGATGCCGAGATTAACACTGTGACAAAGCAGCAGTTCAATGGAGAATGAGAATTACACAAAAGAAAAGCAGAAAGGGCCTAAAAGAGGACATGGCTTTTTCGAAGTCCACCAGCGATATCGATGTAATTATGTTCGATCTACAACAAAGCCTTGCTACTCTTGTTCTGACGACGAACGTTGTGTTTTACAAATGGCAACTTTGGACCTACAATCTCGGCATCCACGACCGCAAAACATCAAAAGCCTACATGCACATGTGGCACGAAGGTACAGCATCCAGGGGATCACAGGAAGTAGCGTCATATATTCGTCGTCATTTGAAATCAAATGGGTCTACAGCGAAACATCATATTTAGTGGTGATGCTTGCGGGGGGGGGCGGCAGAATCAAAACATCAACATGGTTTGTATGTGGTTGGACATTGTTGCCAGTGATGATTTCCCATACGCAGTGATTGATGGTTTCAGGGCATTCGTACTTGCCCAACAACAGAAATTTCGGTGGTGTGGAATCAGCTCGCAGACGCCAGCCACAAATATTTATACCAGAAGACTGGTATAGGCTTGTTGAAAGACCAGACATAGAGTGCAATCAACAACAAAAAAGCTGAGGACTTAAAACAGCTTCATTCCACCCATTCATCACTCATTTACTCTTCTCTGTTGACCACTGAGGATGATTTGGGTACTATATCAGCTGATTTTGTTCTTACCACTTATTAGAGCGTCGGTAGACACTCTATATAGAGATTGCAGGGGTCAAATCTCACGTGATCCACATACAAAAAGCCTTAAAACTCGGCGAGAATGACTCACTAAGCTTCAAAAATCACTATGGGACCAATATCTAGCTATACATGTGCCAAAATACTTGATATGTGCCATCAGTTCTCCATGCTAGAATTCGCTTATTTGCGATTTTCAGATTTTCGTGTCATCATAATCATCATATTCTTCATCTTCTTCTTCAGGCCCGCTTTCTCCTCACCGGAACAAGTTGCAGCCATGGGCTATAGTAGTATGCGTTTACTTGTGGTCTCCCGCTAGTAGCTCACGGAGGTGTGCACGGCCATCAAGCGATCGTTTCTTCATTGTCGCAAGTCCCTACGGTTGATCTTTTAGCTCCACCGTGGTAGACACTCAACGACGCCATTTCCTGCTAACTCAGCAGCACGCCCCAGGGGGCATTGTCCGGATGCTCGCTCAGTGCGGCGGTTGATTTTGGGATGTTGGTTTGCTCTGTAGTCTTTACTGCTTTGCGGTGTGTTTCAGTGTCCCTGCTTAACCAACTTCATTTTGGTCTATACAAAAGCTAGTGCATGGTGCTTTCTGTTTATTGAGAGTGGTTTCTAAAAAAAAAAGGAAACAAGTGGAAAAATCTTTTCTTCAAAATGAAGGGGGATATAATAGGGATGGCTCAAAGCACCAAAAAGGAAAGAACAAGGGGTCATTTCACAGCTAAGACACACAAATCAACATGACACTATCCCTATATCATTATTCTATTGACTAATAGGGAAGTACGATCAGACAAAGATATAGGGATAGTGTCATGTTGATTTGTGTCGAATGACCCCTTGTTCTTTCCTTTTTGGCCATCCCTATTTTGAAGAAATGATTTTTCCACTTGTATCACAATTCTTTCCACTTTTATCATGCTGTAAGCATGACTCCCTTTCATTCAAAACACCTTTGAGTATACACACAAACTCTCATCTGCATTTCAGCTTCAGTGAATTTTTAACACTCTAGACTTTGACGGCTTGGTTTGTAAAATGAGGTTAACGGGGGGGGGTATGTAGCCATCATCCATTGCATCATATTCATTTGTTTCATTTTTATACCATCCCTATATTCACCACAGAGGATATTTTCTTATGCAGTCACATGCATGATGTGCAATATAGGGCATAGCTACTGCATATAAAAAATACATTAGCTATCTCCTCAAATGGTTTGTCGTCATACACAATGTACCAACTTTCATTGTGGGAGGACCCACCATAAGGTAATTATAAGCACTAACACCATATAAAAGTGTTTTTGCAGGCTGTTTGTTGTCGTTTACAACCTTGTAATTTCTGCTTTGATGAACTCTTATCATAGTAGATCAGTGTACCAGGTTTCATTGATAGAGGACCCACCATAAGCAAGTTATAAGCACATACAATTTTATTACCTGTTGTTTGTTGTTGCTTACAAACTTGTAATGTTCACATTTTGATACTAATGATGGGTTGTATATGTTTACAACCATTAACACACTTTATTTGTCTTTATTGTGACTTGCATGGGCGGATCAAAGGAGCCATGCATACATTTATTTCCCGTATTGTAGTATGCGTTCAATATGACTAATATCGAATGCTCAACACAAAAATTATTGTTCTAGCATCAGCATTGTACACATACTGTAGACGAAAACTGTGCTGTTTCAGCTATACTCTTGCTCCCTGTGGCAAGCAAGACCGTGGCCACGGCACACCGACGGCCCAGCAACCTATGAAACAAGTTTCTATGAGGGAGAAAGAGCCACCATCACAACTTCGTTCGATTGCAGTAGCCTCAAAAACAGAGAACTCGCTCGAGAAGCCAGTGAGTGCACACGTGCGCATGAGAAGTATGCCATGCCGTCACATTTCTCTCGGTGAGGTCGACAACTGCTACAAAGTCACAATAAAACACATAATGCGCGTCCTATCGTTCTACATGACTTACGGGAACTCGCTAGCTCGTTCCCCTAAATCACGTATAGAACTCTAAACGCACATCATCTATTACATATATCATGAAAAGCACTAAAGTGCAAAACCCTCGGCGGCGTGGAATAGCTCAAGAGCCCCATACATCTATGATGCTAGGTACCATGCCAATCCCTATCACTAAGTACTATCAGAAGTATCCATATGCAGTCTGTCACATTCATGCCTGTGCAACGTCTGCTCAATTGTTTCAAAGGCTCTTGTGGTTTCTTTATGTTGTCTGTCACGTTCATGCCTGTGCACCTTCTGCTCCATTGTTTCAGAGGCTCTTGTGGTTTCTTTATGCTGTCTGTCACGTTCATGCCTGTGCAACGTCTGCTGAATTGTTTCAGAGTCTCTTATGGTTTCTTTACGCAGTCTATCACTTCTTCGCCAGATTTGGTCGTATGTTTCAGCTGCCCTTGTGCTCTGTTTACGTACGGTAGCCTGTCTTGCTCTATTCTCGCAAATTTCTCTTCTTCAGTCTCTAAAGTTCTTCGACGTTCATCGCTTCCTTTTTGGCAATACACTGCGCTTTCTTTTTGACGGAAAGGTATGTCCCACATACGCAAACTGCCCACCTAGCATGTACTGTTGTGTCACACTGCGGACATACCTTCTTCATGCGTCTATATCACTATCCATTGGTCAGCCCCCTCTGCATACAACGCGCGGAATGTATGAGTGCTGATTGCCAGCTCAAAAAAGTATTTTCACCAGAAGTTTGCTCCAGCGCTGCCCTCACAAGAAAAATGAAACCCTGGCTGCTCAACGGTGCTATTTACGGCGAAAAATGTGCGCAGCCCGCCAGTGTAACACATGCATGCATTTATTTCTCGCTTCCTGGAGGTAAGCGAATACTAATTAGCATATTGGCTTGTTAACTTGGTTTCACACCATAACTTTCGAATGCACTGCTTTTACGAAAATCGCCAAATTTAAATCAAGCCGGTATAGCGCTAAACCTTTTGGTATCGCTGTTTCGTTATCTCGTTGCGCGTGGTTGCAGAAAACGTGGTAACAGACAGACAGACAGACAGACAGAAAAACTTACGGACCAAGTACAGTAACCCTCACTACGCATGCGCGCCGAGGGTTAATAATGTATGGCCTGGGGCTATTTCTTGTGTAAATGAAAACAACGTTGCTTACAAAACAAATGCTCTTGCACGCCATGTCACGGATTTCCTCTCCATAATATCTCAACTGGTTTTTGATTGTTGAACAAGAAGAATTTTGAAACAAACTTTCTTCAATAAATCAATTACCGATTACTGTAAAGCCTGAAATATTGGCGGCAATTATATTTAGCGCTATATTTAGCGTTTTACTCAGACTCCACATATTGGCGGCCATTAATATTAGCGTTTTGTAAGTTGTGGTTAACTTTGACCTCCTGTTTTTGGCGGACCATTAATTTTAGCGATTTATTTCTAAACACCAAATTCGCTAAATGTAACGGAGCGTCAATATTTCTGGTTTTACAGTATGCCATTTCTTAGATACATGCTCTTTTTGACCATAAGATCAGACTGATGTGTCAGAAGTGGGATCTGACTGAAAGTGAAACGTACATACAAACTTCAAATGTATGGGCTTAATGCAGGATAACCTGTCATCCCCAGTGGCGGATTCAGGGGGGTTCCTTGGGTTCCACGGAACCCCCTTTTTTGTCGTTTTTGCGCGATGCGTCGCCGGTCTCGTGTGCATGCACGAGCACAGTTGAAAACGTGCTGGACAGCGGAACCCCCCTTAGATCTGCCACTGATCCATTTAATATGAAGTACTACCGTAATTAAATACCCTCTGAGATTTTGTAGACATGAAGCTCATCAGTCCATTCTCCACCAGCCCTTGGTCGATTTCCTCCAATAACTAATAAACTATCCTTAAATGACACCATTCCACATGCCCACTTAGGCATAGGGGCTCCGTCTGCATTCTGAGGAGAAAGTTGGCTCCAGCGTAGCGTATTAGTGTCAAGCCTGTGGAGGGTGTTGAAAAAATTCTTTCCATCACTCCCTCCAAACGTGTAGAGACCGTTATGGATTGACGTGCTTGCAGAGAGGTACACTCCAGGCGCCGGCGAGTCTCCATGGACTGGTTTTTGTGCCCATAACTCCGAGTACGGGTCGAAGACCTCTACAACGGAACGCAAGCGCCTTTTATTCTTCTCTGAGAAGTCATCTATGAGCCCTCCTTGGACTATTAGTTTGCTACCGGCACAACCAGAGATGTGGTCATAACGTGCTAGAGGTTCGTACTTACTAGCCATTATTATCCACACAAAATTAACCCCATACGCACAGGGGCGGTGGCCGGAGGGGCGGTGGCCGGAGGGCCGGCCGGGGTAGGGTAAGCGCCCATAATAAGAAGATAAGCGGTCATAATGGCCTAGCTGGTGTAACAGTAGTAGCACTGGTAGCTAGTAGCGCTGGTAGCAAGGTAGCTGGGGTAGCACTGGTAGCTGAGGGAGCACTAGTAGCAGATGGAGCACTGGTACCAGAGGGAGCACCAGATAGCAGAGGTAGCTGAGGGAGCACTAGTAGCAGAGGTAGCTGAGGGAGCACTAGTAGCAATGGTAGCAGAGGGAGCACTAGTAGCAGAGGGAGCACTGGTAGCAGAGGGAGCACTAGTAGCAGAGGGAGCACTGGTAGCAGAGGGAGCACTAGTAGCAGAGGGAGAACTGGTACCAGAGGGAGCACTAGTAGCAGATGGAGCACTGGTACCAGAGGGAGCACTAGTAGCTGAGGGGGCACCAGTAGCAGAGGTAGCTGAGGGAGCACTGGTAGCAGATGGAGCACTAGTAACACTGGTAGCAGAGGGAGCACTAGTAGCAATGGTAGCAGAGGGAGCACTAGTAGCAGAGGGAGCACTGGTACCAGAGGGAGCACTATAGTAGCAGAGGTATAGCTGAGGGGGCACTAGTAGCAGATGGAGCACTGGTACCAGAGGGAGCACTAGTAGCTGAGGGAGCACCAGTAGCTGAGGGAGCACTGGTAGCAGATGGAGCACTAGTAACACTGGTAGCTGAGGGAGCACTAGTAGGAGAGGGAGCGCTGGTAGCTGAGGGGGCACTGGTAGCGGAGGGAGCACTAGTAGCTGAGGGAGCACGGTAACACTGGTAGCCGAGGGAGCACTAGTAGCAGAGGTAGCTGGGGTAGCATGGCAGCTAGGTAGCTGAGGGAGCACTAGTAGCTGAGGTAACAACAGTAGCAGTGGTAATAATAGTAGCAGTCTTGTCTCTTGCATCTAAGCAAGTTACTCCAATGTTGCATCATTCAAAGTTTTGGTAGTAACGCACATTGCAATTTTTTATTTTTATAAACATCAATGAAATAGAAGTCAGAATATGTTATTGCCCCTACAAATTTTTTTTGTAAATGGGGGTGCTTCTCCTCTAGATCAGGTAAGATACTCTTTCTCTCTTGGTTGTCTGGGTGGATGAACAATTGCAATGAAAGTTTGCAACAATAATTGATTTTTATTACTTTATGAACTCATCTTTTACAGACCTGACACACCATCATCTGCCTGACTTATGTACTGATAAGTGGGACCTTCTTCAATCACAATGAAAATATAAGAGCAAAGAAGGAGCACAGGTCTGCTCTACCAATAATTGCATATAGCTGTGATACTCCAACTTGCATTGGATTACATACACGTACTGAACTGTCAACACCCCAATTACAGCCAGTATCACAATTAAATAAAGTAAAGATGAGTGGCCTCAAACACGGTGAGATCCGGGAAGCTTTGATAGTACCATATACCAGAAACACTATATACAGGACAACGACCTTGAAGTAACAGAAGATGAAGCCTTTTCCATTCTCTCACAAGCTATAGCTGCCTACTCTCTGATCAAAAGTTTAAAATCTCTTAATACACTGCAGATTTTATTTCTTCCACAACATTCTTTTTGTCATCGTTATGTCTAACCCAGGGTATTATGACGTGTGGAACTAATACTAAAGTTGGTGATAAACAAGTGGACCCACTACTGCTTCATGGTACCTGGTACGAGTTCCTTCTCCTCGAAACGGTGACTGCTCAGTTGCATATGGTGTTATTCATCGCATGCAAGAAGGAGACACTGCTCTGAAGCAAAAGAATGATTAGCATTGGTATACCTGAAGAACACTTGTATGACCTGGAATATATTCAGCGTCTACTGCGTACCAAAATGGTAGAGGAATGGCAACAAAACTTAGACAATTACCAAGGATACCTTCACCAAGATCTTAGCATTGTTAGCCAACAATACCTTCAGGATGGTCACTTTGCAGGTGATGCAGGTGATCTAATGGTGCTAACTTTAGCTAATGTGCTAGGCCTACCAATTACTATATTTACCTCAATCCACAATATGCCTGTGTTCTCTGTGTGATGCCTACATCACAAACAACTACAACAGCAGAACCAGTATTTCTTGAATTTTCACAAAATTGTCCAGGACATTACGATGCTGCAGTATCGTTTCAGGAGTTGAATCGACAAAAGAAGTTACAAAATGCAACTGTGGTCGAAAAGCAAATTTCGAAGGTCAAGCATGCTCATCTAAAAGGTGCAAGTGTTTCAGAATGAATGAGAAGTTTCAATATTCATGTAGGTGTAAATCCTGCATGAACACTATGGAATTAGGCCCCCTCCATCTGCCTCAAGGAAGCAAAGAACCTATGAAGAACAGGAGAGACAGCCACTAAGAGGGAGGATAACTGAGGATATCTGAAACTATTGAGAAAGGGAGCATTACTCTGCTGGAAAATCTTTTACTAAAGGGTATAGTAATGTACTTAATTGCACATGGACTGGCAATTACATCAAAAACTGTGCTGAAAATGTTTAAAATATCCATGCACTGCCAGTACATCAACTTTCCAATCTTTGATCGAACTGAAAGTTGCATAAAGAAATTTCTATTACATAAAATACTTCATGTACTTGAACTGTTTAACTTCTAACTGAACATTGCAGTTGAACATTGAATATCACATCATTTAACAATCATGTCCACTGTATGTTTCAAGCCAATGTAAACCAAAAAAGCAGTGGTTGTGAGTACATGTTATTACATGCAGGTATGAGCATTAGTGATATTCTTAATCAAGGTGCAGTCCTGCTTCTTTATGAGCTCTGTGGTCGGAATTCAGCATTCCATCTGATACAGTCTGTCCCATTACAGATGAGAATATCCCTGCACTTTCCGTTCAACAATGCACAAGAATCACACGTAAGCAATGGTTTACACATGAGAATTTTACAGATGATTCAGGTGTATATGGAGTTAATCAGACGTGAAACAACTGCGGAACAAAAAAAATAGTAGAACTAGAGAAGTTGCAAGGGACACCAGTTAGAGATGAGCATACCTTTCCTGAAGACAAGGGATGCAACAGTCCAACAGTTAAAGCGGCAGAGAAGTGGAAGCGGATATGAGCAGCGATGACGTCATTGATAACCGCTGTGCCCACTACAGCCACACCCACAACTCTAAATGAACAACATCTCCTTCCTTGTTCTAATCCTGAGTCAGTTCCTCCCACATCTTCCTTAGTATGCCATGTAGGTCTATGTTCTTCTCCAACAACAGCTCGTCCACAACCACCTCTTGATGCAACATCTCCAACAGCAGCTTCTACATCTGCCACGACGCGACAGCTCCTCCAACAAAACCACATCCTTGCATAATACGTCCTCCAATGACATTTCCTCTAACATGGCCACATACCTCCATAACACCTAAATCAAGATGTCCTCAAACACTCCTACAACACATTCTACCATAACCCACCCTTCTACCACAAGTTTTCCTTCAGCACAACTTCTCTCACAGCCACCTCTAACCAGCAGAGTAGAAATTGATCGCTGCAACCAAGCTTTGTCGTTGCACTTTAAAAAAAGCACATTGTTGATGTTGAGGAGTGGAAGGAAAGGGAACGATGAAAAGAAGAAGTTGAGAGCAAAAAATTAATAGCCTTTGTTTGAGTTGTAAGTACACCATTGTGTTTTCACTGGCCTGTGTGTATATGGTGGGTAGTGGTGTTTAAGGTAGTAATGTATAGTGAGCCATTGACTGTGCAAACTTTTTTGGGGTTCCAACACCTACAAATAGCTAATGCAAATTTGGGAAAGTGATTGTATGTTTATGTAGGGTTAACAAAACAATGTTACATAGCCTTGAAATAACCGCTTATGATTGTTGGAGTCAAGTTTCAAGTTGTGCTTGGGGTTGCAAAAGGTGAAGGAGCAGTGGTAGCTAAGAGTGCTAAGTGTGCTAAGTGGATGTCAGTAGCACATATATACAATATATAGCCGTTAGCTGTTTCAGAATCATAGCCATTGTCTAGTTGCCAGAACATGCAGGCAGCAACTGTAAGTTTTTAAAAGATTTTTCTGGATTGTGGGTTAACAGTCATGATGCATAATTATTATCTTTCAGATGCACTGGGTGTTGGGGTATCTCGCCATAATGGTATCCTTTGCTGATTATAACTCAGGTAATATCATGATTTCTTGTGTTTAGCTAAGGTTGCACATAGGCTCTGCTTTTTGTTTTAGCTCAGTAGCTAGCTAGCTACTTACTAGTGTTGGTTGGTGAAGTGTGCTAATAACGAAACTATTTTTGTTTAACTATCCCATTTCCAATATTGCTCAGTCGAAAAGGCATCCAGTTTTCGTTACCCAAAGAAAGTCGTATATAGGCATCCAGTTGTCCTTACCCAAAGAATACGGGTAGATCATCTACTTTAATGCAAGTGTCTCAACCAGGGATGCCTCCATGTAGCTATATAGTGTTTCTGCTTTCTTCGTGTGAGACACCCTTAAAATACCAATAGTGTTTTGTTTTATGTTGTAACAGCAACCATGGCATCATCTCCTCACCCATGCCTCGGAAATTTATGTTTCACATCAGCACCTCCTATAACAACAACTGGACCCACAACTCTACCCACAAGTCCACCCACAATAGCTCCTCCCACAACTCCACCTTTGCCCACACCTTCCGCCTCCACAAAACCTTCCCTATTTTGCTATTTTCAAGGATCATGTTTTCTCCCACAACAGCCTCACAAACTTCAGCCTTACCAACTACAGCTGTCCCCACTACAGCCTCGCCCACAACTCCTCCAACAACAGCTCTTCCCAAACCACGTCCTGGCACAACATCTCCAACAACAGATTCTTCTACATCTTTCACGACAGCTCCTGCAACAAAACCATACACCTCCATAAGACGTCCTCCAACAACATGTCCTCCAACAACACCTCTTGCAACAAGGCCATAACACGTCCTCCTACAACACCTCCTCTAACCACCTCCATAACACCTGTCCTCCAACAAGACTACCTCCCACAACACATGCCAGCATAACCCCTTCTACTACAAGTTTTCCTTCAACACACCCTCTCACATCTGCAAAAACTCCAACTAGTGCCTCACCACCTCAAACAATTATAGCAGCAGAGAATGCTACAGCACACCATTTGCCAGTAGGTCCCCTGGCATCAGCTTCTGAAAATGTTACAGACACAATGCAACTCCCAGAAAGCTGACGCCTTCAACACACCATAAGCTCCCAACCAACTTCTCCATACCTTCCACAACCAGTGTCCCAACAAATCGAACAACAGCAACATCTGCTACTAATCCCGTTCAACCAGGTTAGTCATCTCAACCATACAAAACAATGCACTATTTAAACCTGCTAACTGACTTTGAGCTAGCCATGTTCATATAGCTTAATTGCTTGCAAAAAGTTGATGCCACGGCAATGATGATTCTAGGTCAGTTAAGCCTGGTGTTAATTCTTTTCCGTGTATATATGCATGGGTAGAAAATATGCATTGTGACCGAGCCTTGTCGTAGCATATTAACTCAATTCAAGTCCCTCAGGTGAAAGGTTCCATGTCCCAAATAACTTATCAGCTGCAGTTTCCGTTTCAGCAGTGTCTTTTATTCTAATTGTGTCTCTACTTGCAATAATACTTCTGTTGTGGCGGATGAAGCTCACAAAGCAGAAGCTCAAGGATGCAGAAGCTAGTGCAGATAATATAACTTCGGAGAAACCAAAAACCCTCAACAAAAGAGATTTTTCCTTAGTATCAAACAAAGCCTATGTTTTCCACAATGTTACTGGAGTTCGTGTGTATCCCAATGAGGCATATGCAGTGTGCAATGTTGGAAGAGAGAATTGTGGAAAGAAAGTAATGGAAGTTAATGTGGCACCAAATGAAGCCTATACCTACAGGAACCTGTCCAGATCAAAGAATGTTCGTGTGTTTCCTAACGAGGCATACTCCATGCACAAGAAAAGCAAGAAAGACGAACCGGTGTATGAAATGGTGAAGTGAACAGCACCTTGCCATGTATAATATAGTATATATAATTATAAACAAGAGTACCCCATTAGCTATTGTAGACAGGAAGGCAGGTAGGGATTTTTTACCTATACAGCTAGCTTCACTGACTCATTATTAACCCTCGGCGCGCATGCGCAGCGAGGGTTACGGTAGTCGTTCTGTCGGTCTCTCTGTATGTCTGTCCGCGCGAGTTCTCCCACTACGGGCTACGAGACGGCCAATGAGTGGCACCAACGGGTTGTGAACAACGAGAAGATGGATATAACGTGGCGATTTTCCTGAAACGACTGCGTTCCAGAGATATGGCGTGAAAACAAGCGAAAAAGCCAACGTGCGGTCGATGGCGCACGCGCCATCGCCGGCAGGCTACCCCCTGGCGCTCACGCGTCATGTAAGGAGCATGCGCATACGCCACGTTGTTCCACGGCTGGGCAAGCTTTTTTTTCTTGAGTGTCTCTCCTCTGTCACTTTTGATCTCTGTTCTCTTTGTTCCCAATGGATCAAGAAGCTGAGAAAGGTACGTCCGCAATGTAGCATAACAGTTCACGTGAGACGAGCAGTTTGTGGATGCGGCCATCCGCTTCCATCCTAAAAGCACAGTCTGGCAGTATGTCGCAAGCATTGAAACACAGAGGAGCAGATAAAGCAAACGTGAGAGCCTCTGTAACACCTGAGCAATTGCTCTAACCGCTAAGCCCTCTGATGCAACTCGCCTGTGTTACGGTGAGACTCGTATTACTGGCTCCGTCGACGAAGCATGGCCCAGCATACAGCAACGCTACAACGCGCGCGTTTTGCGCCGAGGGTTTGCACTTTAGTGCTTTTCATTCTGTATGAAATGCACTGACTCGTGTGTCTGTGTGAAATGAACTGAAGTGTAACCCAACTGTGTGGATGTAGCACTCTGTACGCGCACTTGTAGTGCCACTATCACACTGCTCATGCACAATATCACTTACTGTCAACTAGCTAGTCTGCATTCATCTACTAATATTTAAAAACAGAAGTGAACTTCACGTGGAGCAAAACAGCTGTAACAATGCTATGTCCCAGCTGATAAAAGCTGAGTCCTAAGGCTCAATTTTTTCACTAGTACTCCCTCAGTGCTGTGTGATGCACTTTCACTCTCCCACTAGGCCTGTGCACATGACCCAGACAGAAATCTATTCCACTGACTGTGGGCGTTGCTTCCTCAGCATCGTCCAAAAAGTGCAGTTTAGGCGTCCAACCACCTCATAGCACTGTGTGATAGTATTAGCTCTGAGCAAGTCACACACATCTTTCATCACATGATTTTCTCCCGGATCAGAGAGTGAGGGCATCGAAGAGAATAGGATTCCTCAGCGATGAGGCGGATGATCTCTGGCTAAAAGCCACTTCGCCAGGTAGTCTTAAAAGACAATAACGTATCAATTTTTGTTTGCTCCTTCACCTACCTGTATGATGTCCACACTGAGAATCTTGCATGGTTCTTTCAACGGAATGAGATAAAACAGTTGTCGGCAGCTTCTTCCAACAGTCGGATACTCGTCACAACTCTAGTACATAGTGCCCCGCCACCACAGGACACTGAGTATGACATAAGGCGATCGAATGCCTGAGAAGTGACCTGAAGTTTCTCCAGCCGTCTTCGAGATGCAACATTTGCAGCTGTTGTGATACTTCAGCTCAACAAACACCTTCTCTCTTTCCATCCATGCAGTAGCTATACAATGTCGACCCATTGCACAGTTGTGAATTTGACGGCCTAGGTGGCCACGGCTATGCCAGCTCATCATCTTCTGATAGAATTCAAAACAGTCGCGGCTGTAAAAGCTCTGGGTCCTTCTTTGTTCTGCATTGAGGTTGCAGGGGGAATCTGCTCATGGAGAGTCGTGAAGTCCTCTGCTGTTTACTGCTGTACTAATATACAAGTTGGAAAATCATTTCTTCAAAATGAAAGGGGGATATAGGGATGGTTTGAAGCACCAAAAAGGAAGAAACAAGGGGTTATTACACAGCAAAGATGCACAAAGCTACATGACACACATCCCTATATCTTGTCTTGAAGTCTGTATAGCTAGCACGGGTTTTAATGAGCGTGTTATAGGGCGCTATATATACATACTGGAGTGCTGATAGGTCCGACTTGAACTCATCTTCTGCTCTTTAATGATACGATCTCATCTTTTGATGTTAGTCAGACACTTCTCTTGCTTGTCTGTCCGACACAGGTATAGTAATTGATTAGACAAGAAGCTGCGGAACACTCCATATCTTATGCTTCATCCCCAGGGCGGATCCAGGGAGGGGTTTGAGGGGTTGCAACCCCCTGTTTCGGCAAGGACGCCAAGAATCGGACCACTGACACTGACCTCAAAATCACGTTGTCACCCCAGATGATTATGTAGGTTTAGCACGACCGCCCACAGGGCAAGCAGCGTGCCGGCAAAAGTTCACACGCGTGCTACACTCTGCAACATCCGAAACAGAAGCATCCGAGTAGCTACGGACGCGTATATCTATACGCTAACCGCGCCCCCTCTCTTGAGGACCTACCTGCACATGGTAGATCTCCACGTGATTCTCATCATTTAATTTAACCCTTTGGAACGTCCATGGGTATCTCGTTTATAAACGGAAATTGATGTACAACATATTAACACCTAGTATTATAGCCATATATAATTATTGTGGCTCTGGCATTAATATATATATTATATAGATATAATAATATATATGCCCGTGCTGGCTATAGGAAGTATCTCTTTGTCGTAATAAATCAGAGAGCCAAGTTTCGGTGAGACAGATGACTGGTATGGGGAGGAGTAGTAAAAGCTTGGAATTGAGATTTTACTGACAAACTGCGTGAATTTAGATAACAACTTCGAGTTATTGGGTAGTCATTGTCTGGCAGACCGAGCCGTGAGTTGTGATGATGGGAAGATGTGGATTGTGGTTGGTGTGAAGGAGGTTGTGCTTGGCTGTTCAGAGCAACTGTGTACACCAGTGGCCACTGTTGAAGTGTCTAATTGTGACTGAGACAGAGCTATGACTCTACTGGTGTTGTGAACATGGGAGCGTGAAGCAAGCACAGCACAATTGTTCGTGAACAATCTAACGGCCGAGTTGTGATGATACATAACAATTATTATGCTTGTATGTGAGTTGGAGGAGAGGTACCAGACACCGTTGTTGACCATGTAGATTGTTTACTACAAACAAGAGGGAACCACAGATTTTGGGTAACATCCAGGGAACACCTGAAGGATGATGATCATTCATATGTTGTGTGTAAGATGTACTCATGGGGGTCGCTGGCTCCAAGATGAGGAAAGGTGGATGTGGGAACCACTTCCCGCGCCCAGCAGAACCCGGGGAGAAGACGGGGGTCAGTGCTACTGTTTGCCATATTTAGTATCGTGGTCAAACAAGCAAGCTCTTGCAGTGTCTTTGGTAACTCCTTATACAAGCACCAGCCCCAGCTATTTGCAATTTTCATGCTAGGGTGTATATTCGGTTGCCCCCACATTTTGTTCTAGTGAGCCAATGTTCGTTCAAATCCCTCTTCACTGTCCCTCCGATGTATTCCACCTGCTGGCAGAAGCGAGTTTAGCAGAAGGGGGACAAGGTGTCCTCCTCTGCCTGCTTGGGGGAGGTGGGCAATAACAAACGGCTACCGATAGCACCTCCTCTCCTGGGGACAATGAGATGACTTGTAAGACAGATGCTGCAGACTGCTCACTATGCTGAGTCAGTATCTGGTCACGTCATCTATTAAGGTCGAATAGAGGCAGTAGCTATCACTCACATCAGTAACTTGTGTGCTACGGTACACTACATGCTTTACCGTATGGACAAGGTGTATTGATCTGCATGTGGTGCTCTTCTGCACGACACTCAGACGCTGGCCTAGCTCCGTTTATCTCTCGTAAGTGTTCACAAATTACATGGGTGCGGCTTGGTATGCACTGATTGCACCATGTAGTAGAAATGCATATAAGCACAATTCTCTAGGGTGCGCAGATGAGAATGGGTAAATAGCGTTGCTGTTTGGCCAGTCAAGGAAGTTAGCTTCTATTACTGTACTTTGTTTCTGACATGTGAGGGCACCTGTGCAGGTGTGTTGATACATGTTGTACATCCTAAAACAACTTTGGACTAGAATGATGTACTCTCTTGGAGGATGCAGACTCATGTACCCTATTGAAACCCAACCTATCCCACAGCCAAGCCTGCTCATTCTAGGCCCCTTTACAGTAAATTTTGCAGCGTTTATTCGAGAAAACTATGCTGCCGTGTATATTGCGAGGTGTTATAGTGAGGCAATACTCCGGGATTTGTTTCTCCGCGTTTAGGTGTTTCGTCACTTTAGTGTCGTCCGCTTAAGAATGTCAAATAGTTAAACGATTTTAGGAAGTGTAACTTCAGTCATTCGTAGGAAAAGGATAGCGGGAAGAAGTGGGAGTGGAAGAAGGATGAGTAGGAAGTCTGGTTCGTAGGAAGGAGTCAGTGAGAGCCGTTACAAACGAGCGGCATCAGTCGGAGGGTTTTTACCAGCATGGGATGGCACGGTTGCGAGGCAAAAATTGCGCGGTGCGATCTCTAGTAACGATTGTGTAACGGGGGGTCGGATCGAGCTCTTGGGTGTCAGCAGTTGCCTGCAAAATCTGTGCATTAACCCATGTTTCATGTATCCCTTCCCCTATCTCGTCTCTCTTTTCTTTTTTATACATCATTATACTGGCTCTCTTTTCATTGTACTGAGGATTGTTTTAATTTTGGCTAGTTGAGCTTTGCTTGTAATTTAGAAAAAGTGGGGATGTGAGCACAATTAGCAGGAAGTTAATCATAGGTTGCAAAATATTTAACTTTTTCAGATACTCACCTCAACCCAAATAAGTGTATGGGCATTCGTTCTTGCTTCTTATCCCTATATTATTTTGCTTGGTTATATACAATTGGTCTAAGGAGGGGAAAA